GCTGGGTGGACGGTGAGCTGGGGACAAGGCTGGTCGCTCACACCAGTGCGGGGCTAGAACTGACAGCAGCTCTGTTCAGCTCAGATGTTTTAACCAGAGGATAAATCCCCTGTGCCACCACTCTATTCTGCTACAGTCAGGCCTCACCTGGAGCCCTGTGTCCACCCCCGCTGTTTTTTCAAAAGCAAGTTTCTAAACCTCACGGGCAAAGATAGGCCCGCACATTTTAAAAAGAATTCAGAAGCTCGGCACAAAAACTCGACCTGTGGGACCTGAAAAGCTGTCAGCTATCCTGTGGAATCAGGATGGGCTGGAACTCAGGTCGAATCTGCATTTGCATCTTTAAATCAGTTTCGTGCTGCTGTGACGGCGTCTTTCTCTATGCTTGTTTGCGTGTTGTTTGGAGAAGATTCTTTGAAAGCAGTGCGGAGGTGCAGTGACAGTGGAGCCGCCCCTGAAAGGACGATAAACATATGTGGACTTGCAAAAGTATGCTAGCACTCTTGAGGTGTGAAAACGACACCGAATGTAGACAGCTTTTTTGAAGACGGAGTCAAAAGGCCGGGACACCGGTGGGGAAGACAAATGCAGATTCTGCCTCAGTCAGAGACCACCCGCTGTGCGCGTAGAAGGCCCCCGAGTTCAATCCCTGACATCTCCACTTTTTTTTAAAGTCTTTATGTAACAGAACTTGGGGAACAGGAGAGAACAATCAGAAGAAAGAACCGAGCTACTTTTCTCTTCTTCTTTTCCTTTTTTTTTGCAGGCCATTGAGGTAAAGAGGAATTCTGAAGATACCTGGGAGCTTGGCGGAACAGCTATGAAGTCGGCAGAGAAAGTAGGCCGACCCCAATCCAGATCTGTCTGAGTAAGCAGGGGTTATATTTTTAAACACCGTCTCTGTCAAAAGGAGAACATCCGTTCCCTTCGGCAGAAACGCGGAATTTTTAGAAGCCCCGCTGACCGCCTGCTGGGATGTTTACCTTCCGCGAAGAGAGAATCCATGGCCGGATTTGCGCTCACAAAGGCCGTCCTCCACCCCTCACGGCGCAGGGTGGGAAGAGGGGAAGGAAAGGAACTACTGAAGTGAGCAGAGAAGTCAACAAGGACGGCCAGTGGGGGGGGGTCAGTGGCACGGCGGGTCAGCTGCCCCCGGGGTCAGGGCCTGAAAGAGGGCCACCTGCTGGCCAGAGGTAGTTGCTGCATCCACTGATGCTATGGAGACTCCCAGAGGGAATGGAGCACAGCTTCCTTTTTTCCTTCCTCCTCCCTCCCTCCTCCCACCTCCCTCCCTCTCTTCCTTCCTCCCTCCTTCTTTCCTCCCTCTTTTTTCCTTCCTCCCTCCTCCTCCCTCCCTACTTCCTTCCTTCCTCCCTTCCTCCCTCCTCCTCCCTTCCTCCTCCCTTCCTCCTTCCTTCCTTCCTTCCTCCTTCTTTCCTTCCTTCCTTCCTTCCTTCCTCCTTTCCTCCCTCCTTTTTCCTTCCTTCCTCCCTCCTTTTTCCTTCCTCCCTCCTTCCTTCCTTTTAAGAACATAAGAACATAAGAGACACCAATGTTGGATCAGGCCAGTGGCCCCTCCAGTCCAACACTCTGTGTCACACAGTGGCCAGAAATACCAGGGGCCCTCAGGAGGTCCACCAGCGGGGCCAGGACATTAGAAGCCCTCCCACTGTTGACCCCCCCCCAAGCACCAAGAAGACAGAGCATCCCTTGCCCCAGACATAAGAACATCAGAGACACCAATGTTGGATCAGGCCAAAGGCCCATCCAGTCCAACACTCTGTGTCACACAGTGGCCAGAAATACCAGTGCCACCAGGAGGTCCACCAGTGGGGCCAGGACACCAGGAGCCCTCCCACTGTTGCCTCCCCCCCCAAGCACCAAGAAGACAGGGCATCCCTTGCCCCAGAGTCCCCATCTATACCTTGTGGCTAAGAGCCACTGATGGACCTCTGCTCCAGATGCTTATCCAATTCCCTCTTGAAGCCGTCCATGCTTGTAGCCGCCACCACCTCCTGTGGCACCTCTTCCTTCCCCTCCTTCCTTCCCTCCTCCCTCCTTCCTCCCTCCTTCCTCCCTCCCTCTTTCTCCCTCCCTC